GTATTTAATGTATGGATTTTGATTTCAATGAACAATATATTAATTATTATAATTTGCTTAACTGTAAAAAGGCTACTATAAGCAAATATTATATAAATAATATTCACTTATCTCTTACATATCTATCTGCAGTTAAGTAAATTACATAATTAATGTATTGCGCTTATTGAAATTAAGATATGCATTAAATACAAATAAAGTAAATGTGGTAAAAGAATATTAAATAATTTCGAATTATAGGTCAAATATGTAATAAAATATTAAATAAAATTTTAAATTTCAATTGTTTTTGTTTATTTGAATAAATTTTTAGTTATTTATAATACTAAATATAATACTGAAATGCACTTAATTTTTAAAATATTTTTTACTATTTATTTGTTATTATTTATTTTGTATTATAACATTTATTATATTAATCTGAAATAATAGAAATTAAACTCAATTATAGATTAAATATTAATATTTTTATTGCTAGAAATTTCGATAAGATTTTGGAGATTGGAGAAAAGAGGTAGGAGTTGTAAGAACGAAAGTAGGAATTGTATATTTAACATCAATAAAAATAAGGGTTTTCTAGGACAACAAGATTAAAGAAAGGCCAAAAGAAGACATAACACTTTCAAGATAGAACTTGTAGGTCAAGGAACATTATTAGAGGCACAAATAACCATGTATGAGGTTTATAGTAGGTTTTAAATTTCGACTCGGGTATAGTTCCGTTCTGCTAAAATACGACTCGGACAATGTCTAAGATTAATTATATGTATGTATAATTGTATTAGCAATAATTTCAATAAAACGGTCCCTTTTTTCATCTGTGGTTGGCTTGCTGACGGTCTAGCTATGTCATACGCTCTTTTCGTACTTGTCGGCTTGTTCAGATGTGTACTTTCAATATGCTGTTTTAAATCCGTTAATTCAACATCAAGTTCCATTTCGATGGAACAAAGCCTACATCGCACATCAAAATCTCCACTCTTTGTACAGTATTTCCACACCCAACTACTGCCGTTATGGTTAAAAGGGATTGTGGCAAAATGCGTGCTTGTTAAATAATATTTTAAATAGTCAAGAGCCGTTACAATTTTGAAATCTTGACAGAGAGGACATTGTGATATGTATTTGGCATTACACTTGAAATACATCCACGGAATATATCCTTCTCCGTTTCTTTTTTCGTATGAAGTAACTTCTTTATGATATTTCGTTACATGTTCTCTAAAGTTTGTAGTTACAACATCCTCGAAAAGTGCATCCTTCAAATTTACAATTTACTTGAAAAGGCTACTCAAGTATTAATGTGTAATTGTGCAATAGTTTTCCCTTATTTGTGATTTTAGTTGGCACACACATTGCGCCCATATTTTTCAATTTGTTCTCATGCTATCTTACTAAATGATATTTTAATCCTTTTCCTTCAATTTCAAGGCATATAGATTTATTACAATTCACCAGTTTACACTTTACCTTATAATTATTAATTTGTGTGCAACATTCTCGTTTATTTGTGGTTATTTCATAATATACCATTTCTATTGCAGAATGTGAAATGCATATGTGATTGAAAAAATTTTCATGAGGAACATTCTTCTTGCAAATTAAACATACTGACTTTAATTTGTCGTAATATATCTCCGGCGTTTTTCTTAGCTTTCCGTTTACTATAAATTTTAAGTCGTCTTCATGCTTTTTACGTAAATGACTTCCAAAAGGTGAAAACTTGATATAAGCCAAAGTTGATTCGCAAAACTTGCACTTTGCTCGCCAATTCTACGGATTTTTATAATAATCCCACACGTTGTATCTAGTTATTTCCACTTGTGACATTGTGTCTGTTTCAACTGACCAGAAGCAGATGACTCAATACGATATAAGAGCCGTTCTATCGAAAAGTTAGAAAAAAACAAAGAAAGATACAAGGTATGCTTTTTTATTTGAATGGAAAAGTATTGATATGTCGATCAGGTCTATTCAACAGTTATCAAGAGATGCCACGCGGTGGTAAACCTTTAATTAAACATCATAGTTAGTTCTGTGTCAAATAGAAAAATTTAGGGGGGAAGAAAAAATATGATCGAATTATTATTTTTGCTATCTTTTTAGTCATCGTTGTTTTTATACCTTCCACCTATCACCTTCGCAAACTGTCTTCATTCATCCTTCTTTTACCTACTCTCTTTCTACCCTGCTGCCATTGTAGACTCCATTGTTACTCCAAGAGGGTTGACAGCATAAACCCTGATCTGGCAAACTCGATTCCGA